AATAATACCTTAGCGCATATTTTTTATCAGAAGCAGTAATAAATATTTTAAATATACAAGATGTCCGAAAAGTCTGGGACCATAAATGATTTGCAGCTTTTCTTAATTTCAGATACGTGACTGATTATGGCGCGGTCAAAGCATGAGAGGTCGAATTAATCCTGCTGTTAATCCAAACTTGTTTCGAATTACAAGGACAGCATGTAAAATTTGTAATCTGTAAAAATCTGTAAAATTTGTTGAAGTGCCTATGGCTCCATACTTTTCGGACACGCTGTACTTCAAAATATTTGACCATTAGATACGCAAATATCGAAAACTAACAAACTAAGCATGTAGCGCCATCTATCATTTATATATGTAAATATATTCAGTTTGAAGAAATTTGATTATTTACCTCTAATACGAATGCATTTTATTTATATTTTTACTGGAAATTATCTTAGTAACATGAAGGTAGACGTTATAAGAAGTTAGAACATCACTATCATAATAATACCTTGCTTTTTTTTCGTCTGGAAAGCTCAAAATATTGTACAAGTCTTATATTTATTTGAAATTTAAAAGTTTTGTTTATAAGTTTTCATGATATACTTTTGTGAAGGTTTGAGAATAAAAATTGTCATTTGAAATAGTGCTTTATTTAATAGGATTATGAGATTAAGTATGTTACAAACACTTGTACACATATTAATTTTTTGTTTTCAGTGTTTGTGTTATAAAATATATATATATATATACTCATGCAGTTGGTCGTCAACATATGGATACTTATGAAATACACTATACACTAATGAGTAGATAACGCGGGTGGATCAAACTGTTCATTAAAATAACATAAAATACATTAATTATTAACGAAGAAGAAGTTATGTTTTATGAAACTTCGTTACTAAGAAGCTTAATTGTCTATATTTCAAGCTTATATATAGTAGAGACGGTATAGTATTAAAAACGTTTATTTAAAACACAAAACAAGTAAGACCTCCTTAGATCATCATCGAATTAAGCATGACTGAAAATTGAGAAAATGACTGTCGTGGGAATGGTAACAATGATAAGTATAAGATTGTAGGGGCTTGGTACATATTCAATCTATTGTAGTATAGGTGTAGAAGCATTCCTTGATGCTGGTTCAATGTGGGTTTAAGTTCTTGTATTAGAAGAGCTTCTTTGATTTTACGTTTTTTTTTCTTATACATTTGTTTCTTTGCTTAATATGTTAATGTTTCTATGGTTATATTGTGTCTGTTAGAAATACAGTGTTCAAAAACATGGGAGGGTGTTTTTGTGTGTTCGTTGAATCTGGTTTCCATTTTTCGGCTTGTTTCTCGAGCACAGGACCACAGTGCCACAGCCGCATGTCTGCGGATTTACAAGACAAAAAACCTGGTTTCGATACCCGTGGTGAGTAGAGCACAGACAGGCCATTGTGTACCTTTGTGCTTAAATACAAACAAACAAATCTCTAACGTAGAAATCATGGCATTTGTTGCACTGTATATTGCAAATAATATTAGTTTTGTGTTTGTCAGGGTAGTTTTTACATAGTATAGATTTTAATTTGGTATCTGGTTTATGAATAAATTTAATATTTATTGAAATGTTACGTTTGGTTATAAGTTTTTCTAGATGTTAAATATTTTGTCGCTTATATCTAAAATGGAAAGTATGCAACAGTGTAGTCTTTTGTTGATATGTGTTTTATTGACTTTTCTTTGTTGTTTGTTATTAAGCACAAAGCTACAAAAAGGGCTATCTGTGCCCGTCCACCACGGGTATCGAAATCTGGTTCTAGCAGTATAAGTCCACAGACATACCGCTGTGCCACTGGGGGGGGGGTTGGAAGGGGGAGTGTGTATAGTTCTTATAGCAAAGCCACATCGGGGAATCGAACCCCTAATTTTAGCATTGTGAATCCCAATACTTACCGCTGTCCTTCCGGGGGACTTGACTTTTGTATTGTTGGTTGGCTGTTCATTGTGTTGTTGGTTGTGGACTCTGTGTATAATACGTTCGACGGTTTTTGTAGGAAAATTATTCATGTTCATGAAGACTTGTTTTAGTTGATTAACTTCGTCAGGTTGTCAGGTGAGCAAAGTTTTATCTGCGTTTATTAATTTTTTAAGTATGTTAAATTTTTGTTTTGTTTCATGTGCCGAGTTCCAGTGAATGTATAGTCCAGTATGGGTGATGTTTTTGTAGATTTTTGTTTTAAACTGTGCATCTGTTTTTGTGATACTGAGTTTCAGAAATGTTAATTGTTTATTTTTTCGTATTCAATCGTGGACTTAATATTTCAAATTATTAATGAAAGTTAAGCCAACGAAAAGCTATCCATATTACTAAACGGAAAAATAATATTATTGTAGTAAAAGATTGGAGGAAATAAATGGGAAACAGTGTTATATGATTTACACATGAATTACCTTATTAGCTATTATTTTATTTGTCTAATCTACCAACTCTTTTGTGGGTACCAGTTTTCTTAAGTTGCATAAAAAAAAAACTCATTTTGGAAATTTCTTTCTGAAAAAAAAAGATATGTTATTAACTTAATAAGCTAGATTTTACTAATATTTGGCGAGAATTTTTAATTTTGAATCAACAAAGCTTACAAATTCAAATTGCGTAGATTTTTCTTAACTTGTTCATAGTGTTGTCGTAAGGTAATGTTTAGCTCGTTGAATCGTTAAAGTAGTGAATGTATTGAATTTCTCACTTTAAGTTTATATTAGCGAAAGTATCAGGCTTCGATCGGGTTATTACGTTGACATACTCTATATGTCTATGTTAGTTTGTGTATTCTGAACCCATTTTAGCATAAAAGTATAACCTATATACTTTTTTTGCTTAGCAACATGACATAAAAGCCATTGCTAGAACGCATTGTTACCAAAAATGCACTGTCTTTTCTATATATTAGAAGTTGTTTTATAAGGGGCCACTTCTTTTCTACGTGGTTTGGCGCTAGCTTGCCTCATGAAAAAGATGCGCACGTGCATCTGCGCACGCACGTGGATAAGTAATAATAATTATGTGCACACCCTAAGGGTCCACTTAATATGGGCTCAAAATTTCAGATTTCTAGGTTTTTTACTATTGGGGCTATGGCGGTCACATATTCTTTTCAGACATGCCCTTTTATTGTTATAAATTATATTGTTTTCTGTTTCTACTGACAAGTAATCATTTTTCAACGTACGAGCAAATGTTACACTTGCTTTGAAAATATTAATGCTATAAGAACTTTTTCAGTCAACCTAACAAGTTCTAGACTATCGTTTTGTTTTTTCTTCATAAAAGATATTAATATCGATGTAAAATATACATAGCTGTTTTCCTTTTTTTTTCAGTGTACTTCTGAAAAAGAGTGGAGAAATATATTACATTATAGAGAAGTAGACAGTTGCCATTGTAGTTGACCATTAGAAGATCAGAAAATGAGGGATTGAAACCGCCGTACTACTGGTTTCAAAGCAATAGAGAGAGTAGATGTAATACAATGTTAATCTTATGAACCTTGGAAATAAAACTGTAACTCTATTTTTACAGTACTTTCGAAATACGTAATGTTATGTTAAAGTATGCTTAAAAACAAGTCTACTGGCTAAATTATTTTAAGTTCTGCATCTTGGATTTCGTGGAACAAAGTTACATTTACTGATACAAACATAGCTGGTATGTTTAAAATTAAAGAACTGGTTTAAAAATTTCAGTTGGGAATATTTTATTAAATCATCATAAAATAAAAACGTATATTACGAAAAATTAGCTGATTTTAACAGTATCGTTTGTATTTTGTTTGCCAGGTATTCAAATACAGGATATTACAGAGCGTGAGACAATTTATTTACAGGTATTAAGGAACGTTCTGACGTTGGATATTTTAAATCAAAAGAGTTCCTTAATAACTATAAATATCTTCATCGAGTTAGATATAGGAATGAATTACTTAGCAGGATCCAAAGCTTAAATGAAAGGTTATTAGGGATATGCTTAGAGCAACAGGTGGGCTACTGGATCTACGGGATAGGTTTCATGATAAGGGTGAATTATATGCTAGAGACGCGCTCCACTTAAACAAATTAGGTAATAGATTGATTGGGGGAACTCTAAATATATTCATTAGAGATAGTTTAGTGGCGAGAGAGCTTTGGAAACAAACAAATAATCTTTTTGAGGATATTGGTGATGAAGATAGAGGTAAAGTCGTCCTGTTTAAAACACTTTATTATGTTTTGATGGATGTTTCATCGCAGATGTTTTAAACTCTGTTGTTCAAATCAAAGTTGGATGATAGGACTGGAAGTGTAGATATATGTCGGTGTGGATAGGTTTTCTGCATACAGTTGTAGTAATATTTCCTTTCTGTCTGCTGCTGATTATGTCAAGAAACGGCTGTTTTGTTTCTCTATTTCCATGGGGAAGTGTATTCTTTTCTCTAATGATTTAAGACAATCTAGGAAGGCTGGTAACTTTTCATGACCGTAGGCTAGATAACAAAGGTGTTGTCAACATAGCGCCTATAAAAGCTTGGTTTTATATCTCTAGATGAGAGGGCTCTTTCTTCAAAGTCTTCCATGAAAATGTCTGCTAGGACTTGAAAGAGTGGTGATCCCAAGTTGTATTGGAAATAAGTTGACTGCAGCTAAGTAGTCTTTGATTTCATGATGGCATCTATCTTCATGTTAGTTCTGTGTTAGAAAGTTGTCATTCAGCAAGGTCGTTGTTTGATAATGCAAAGGGTTTCTAGGGTCGGAACGTTGTCCGTGAAACTGACAAGAATATACTGGGATCTGATGTGTAGCCTTCTGAGTTGTTCTGTGAAATATTTCGAGTTGTGAACCTGATGTTCAGTGTTACCTCGTAGTGGTGATATGATACATATCAAGATGACCGTTAGCTGTTGCCAAGGTAAATTTATCGCACTGACGATAAGTCTTAAGGTTAGGATGGGTTTGTGTATCTTAGGTAGTCCATATAACTGTAGAGGGCGATTATCGCTGATTCTTGGCCAAATTTTCGTTGACTAAGTTTTGTTTCTTTATTGTTCTATTGATGAGTCTCTCTATCTTTTCTGTAGGGTCATCGATGCACTTTTTGTATTGGTGTCCGTCTAGTAACTGTTTGATCTTGGTGTCATAATCGTTGAGGTGTGGGATGACTATACTGTTTCCTTTGTCTGCTGGTGGAATCTTGATTGTGTTGTCCTGTTTTAGACGTTTTAGTGTGCTATATTCGTGTTTAGTAATGTTTGGCTTTGGCTCGTTGGCATTCCTGAGACTGGTGTAAGTTGGATGTCGAAATTGATCTGCTGTAGATTTCGGGGGTTTTTGTGCACCAGATTCTAAGGTTGCATCTATGCCAAAGATTGGAAGTGTGCTTGCTTCTATGGCGAAGTTTAGATCTAGATTTATTTCATTTTCTGTACCACTTAAATGTCCGGAACTGAAGCTGTGAACTGCATTGGAAATAGTGGGTTTATCTTTCTTAGTAAGTTTGTGAAGTTTTTGGACTTGTTTCTTCTTGGTGTTTTCCACGTTTGATGTATAGCGTTTGGCGTAAAGGTTTAAGATGCCCAACGCTCTTGCGTTCATAGTGAAAGGTTGTCGAACTTCAGAATGTTGTGTTTCCGTGGTTTCGAGTAGGTGGTGCTTTTTTTTTTCTTCTATTTTCTTCCATATGTAATCTTAGGAGGTGCCTGCTGGTCTCGTCGTGAAAGTTTTTATCTTTGTTTTGCTGAAGAAGGAAGTTTCTTTGAGTTTCAGAAAGTTTGGAATAGTATTCAAATCTCTGCAGAGTAGCAGGAAGGGCAGGTGGTTACTGCTTGTAGAAGTTCTTATTGTAGTTGTTAATATTGTTGATGGAAGCTAGCCCATAACATCTCTTTATGCATTCTTTGATAGATAGATAGTTTATGCAGAGTATTCAGCAAAAATGTTGCTAATTATGTTAAAGCTAACTTTAATTTCTAGGTATGTATTTAAAATGGGAATTGGATTCTTATAGGATGCTAATGACAAGGTTATTGTTGAATACCACAAAATGACTGAGCTTTCAAATGTTTTATTATCTTTGGTTTTATAACATAAGATATTAACAATATTCCTGAATATTAGATTGGAAATATTGGAATTGATCTGAATCACGTAGATATAGCCCCTTGGTGTTAAGTAAAAGATTGAGTAGTAGATAGAGCACAAGGAACAGATAAGGTTCTCCTCTGGGTTTTAAGAGATGTCAAAGATTAGATATACGAGCTTCTTTCTTTCATTTTTGCTAGGTCAGTTGAGAGTTAATAGGTGCCTGAGGACCGGAGAGTAGCATATGTTAATCATGTTTCTAAAAAGGTTGCTTATATTAATCAGGTTTCTAAAGACTTACCTAGAAATTAAAGTTAGCTTTGCTTCTGTAGCAGTCTGATAAAAGAAGCTTTACGAAATAAATTTGTGAAATGTGATATTATTAATGAAAGGCAACATGTATTTAAGTAGGGGAAATCTACATTATTAATCTGTTATTTTTTTTTCGAGAAATTCATTTGCTATCTGGACAAAGGAAAGAGTGCGAAATTGGTGTACTTTGATTTTTTAAAACTTTTGATAAGGTTTCACACAACATATTAGCTAAGGAATTCATATAAGTATGAATTAGGAAATTTCTAATGAGTTAGACTGTATAGTAATTGAATGGGTAAAAACAATGGTTGTTATTAAAGGACTCAATATACATTGGACCCTTGTTATTAGTGAATTGCCTCAGGGGTCAATATTTGGCCCTTTGCTCTTTCTTGTTTACTTTAATGATATTGATAAGGGCATAAATAGTGAATTAATAAAGTTTGCTGATGACATTAATCTTGAGTATTTCTAACTGTATTGAGAATGTTGGTGTACTACAAAATGTCTTGTATCAAGTGATTAGTTGGACAAATATGTAATAAAAGGCCTTTAATCATAGTAAGTGAAAAATAATGATTTTGGGTTATCATGATTTGGATCACAAATTTAACATTGATGAAAACTAACTCAATAACACGACTGAAGAAAAGAACCTTGGAATAGTGGTGGATAAATCACTCAGGCCATCGAAACAGTGGTCTGTTGCTAGTGGTAAAACTAACATAACCGTAGGGTATATTTATTTCATACAGCGATAATTATCTCTCTATACATATTATTAGTTATGTCTCACTTGAAATACTGTGTACAGTTTTGGTTCATTGCGTGTGGAAGGGTAATGACTTACTGGAAAAGGTTTAAAGGAAGCTACTTAGATAATTTCAGTGCTGGAAGGGTTATCTTAGAGGGATGAGCTAAAATCTCTTACTTTATTTTCTCCTGATTAAAAAAAAGTGAGAGGATCAAATCCTCTGATTTTTTTGTGGCTTACTCTGAAAATAATAGGACGAGAGAATACAATTTTAAGATTTGGAAGAAATAGGTTACGCTCCAGTTAAGACAGTTCTATTTATCTAACAGCGTAATTGAGCTATGGATTGAGTCGCAGTCTCCCTTTAGTGGAGTTTAATGAGGGGGTCGATGGTTTGAAACAGTAAAAAGAGTGGATTTAAATTTTTACTTTTCCCTAGGGTAGGTGTGCAAGGACAGTTTTGAAGGGCCTAATGGTCCCTTGTCTTTCATATAATATTTTATTTTAATTTTTAGAAAAACTCGAAAACGTAATAACAGTTATCATACAAACCATGTACCTAAAATGACTTTTTATTTTTCTATTATACAAAGTTGATAATATGCATTACAAGTCCAATTTTTTTTTTAATTTTATCAAGTGAAATGTACACTTTTTCACAGATTTTTTTTCTGTTTGGTCTATCGATGAGAATGCTTTGTAGTCATGTTTACTCTTTCAATATTTAACTTTTAATATCCAATTAAAATAAAAATACGTGAATCTCGTACTGGGGCAAAAAATTCACTTAGAATAACATTGACTCATTTTTATAATAATTTTTGAATTGCAAACACTATTAACGGAAAAAATGAAATTTCGACTTTTTTCTGATGCGGAACTGGGAGAAAACATCATTCAAGACGTCATCGTAAGTGTCAGCCCTCAAATATCCGCTTATAGTGGACAAATACCTGTGGCTCTGCCGTACCAGATGTCCCAAGAAGATGATCCTGCTGGAACTTCACAAAGCCTGTTGCCTTGACACTCCTGACTCCCTAAATAGTTACAAGGTTGTCCAGGACACTGGAAAAAAAAATAAGAATAACTGATACTGGTTAAAAACATCATTATATGTTTACATGCTGCTTGATATTAGTGATTATGTTTTAGCTGCTCCTAAGTTATATTTGTGTCACACAATAAAAATGCTATAAGTATAATAGATTCCAACATTTCTGTAATATAAGGTTCCAAAACTTACATACTTCTTTAAGTCTATTTTTAAAGCAAGTACGATAGCCCTTATAATTCAGCTCTATTTTATTATAATTCAGATTTTGAAGTAGGTTATTATGAATGAATCAATACACTATATGCACGTATGTGGTAGTTCGAGTTGTGTTAATAATAACTGCTCGTGAGTTAGGCCATTGCTTGGGGCATGAAGGGATCCGGCTTACAATCTTGCTCGTGGAAGCACAAAAACTAGTTTACAGCAAGACACTGAATATAAAAATCTCCACTATTACAAGTTGAAGGTCTAAGCCTACTCATTAAACAAAGGTTGGAAGTAATTTGCAGTTCTCATGAAAAAGAAACAAAAAAAAAAGATTATCAGTGTTAAATGTTTCATAGAATTTTTGGTTAGTTGTTAGAAAAAAAACAAATTAACCTTAAGTTATATTATTTGACACCACAGATTTTAGCCGTTAAGAATGTATTTGAGTCCCTCGGTGGGTCAGCAGTAAGTTTACGGGTATACGATGTTAAAAATCGTGGTTTGATTCCTCCCGGTAGACATAATGCAGATAGCATATTGTGTAGCTTTGCGCTAAAACAACAGCAAGAACATTATCGATGAAACAAAATATTTGATGTAAGACGTAGAAGGCTGTATATATTGAGTTAAACAGATAAATGTTCTCAATACAATTTCTGACCTTTTGTTTGATTACCTTATATATGCAATACGCACCACTTTAAAAGTGTTGTTAATTAATTATTCATTAAGAAATTAATAGTCATAGAGTAATTTTTCTGTGGAATTTTCATGATATAGTCGATGTGCTTGTGTATTTTCTTAAGCTCAGTATTGTTTTTTTTTTAATGAAACAGGCATACTTCATTTTTAGCTATTAAAAATTAGAATGTTGTGGAGTATTAATGATCATCACGAAATTCTACAATTAATGTATTTTTGACTTGTTGTTTTATTATGTCTCTGAGGAAGAACACAATTAAATGTATAAATCTATCTTGTTGACTTGTTTTTCGAAAAAGTATTTTGGTTTGAACACCATATATTTACATACAAATTTCAAAACATAAGTAAGACATTATAGCATAAAACTATATATAAGTAATCTAGATTAAATTCGGATAACTCACTAACTAATTGGCTGTTTGATAAAATGCATCGGAGACAAATACGAACGTTGTCGCAATCTCAACTTTAATGAGGTAATCTATGATTTTTGAAAACACGAAAGTAAGAAAGCAATAAACGGTTTATTTCTAGAAAAAACTTTCTTGTTTACTTAGTTTGTTGTTTAGTGGCAAGAATTTGTGTCACTGACGCCCTATCGGAACATTTTCAATTCTCAAATGGGATGTACTTTACCTAACTTCGAAGCCTGAAGCTTAATAACGCTATAAATCTGGGTTCGATATTCACGGTAGGCAAGGATGTGTAACTCATTTGCATAGTTTTGCAGTTAAGCGTAAACAAACAGTAATTTGTTTGTAATTAAGCACAAAGCTACACAATGGGCTATCTGTGCTCTGACCATCACGGGTATCGAACCAGGATTCTAGTGTTGTAAGTCCGCAGACATGCCACTGTGCCACTGGGGGGCAACAATAGTTCATAAACTTAAATAGTACAGTTCTTGAATATTACACTGAGAACTATAAACCGTACCTTTAAATCATTGAGTTCTGTTTAACATATTTTTGTAAGGGCGGAGGTTGGGAGTTTTACATAGTAGAAATTTTAGGGTGGTTTCATTTCTACTTTAAGAACTTTAAGGATAACTGCCTTCCCACAGCTGGCTGCAGGCAGTGACAGGCAGTAGGAGTTGAGACGTTGTAAGTGTATACACTCAGCTCCATATCCTTATTTGATTTTCCATAATGGCTGGCTAGTTCATCATCAACGTTGGGATATTGCCTGATAGATGGGATATCCCTAAAGTATTTGGGGGTTATTACCACAGGCATTATCTGTTAAGATATCAAGCTAACACTAAGACTGACAATGGCAAGCTTATTTTATATTAAGTTCAATATTGTTTTATAGTGCTGATTTAACCGCCTATTAACACTTAATGTAACTAATAGTATTACAGCTATTTATTCATTTATATATATATATATATACATATTCCTTTCACTTATTATCTATCTTTCTATGTATATATTTCTTTCAGTTACCAATGAAATAAAATATTTTATTAGTATACTCACACCAGCGCAGAAATCACAACAATTGCATTGACCTTTGTACGTTCCACAAGGACATGGTCCCACAGATGGACATTCACTTGTGTTACATGGAGGACAAATAGGTGGGCTAGTGCAAACCACCCTTTCCCAAGATAAAAAAGAAAGAAATTAGTTGCATTGTAATTATGTCGTTTCTATTATATTTACATGTTCATATTTAATTATTGTGATTACCATCGTCATTATTTTGGGTACGCTCTTTCTTAGATGAAATCTACCTCAATATAAGTAACAAAAATGTATTTCCAATCGAACATTATTTAGTGATAGTTAAAACGCTTAATAAAATATTCAAGGGGTATTCGAAAAATTTTGGCGTGATAAAATAAAAATTAACAAAAAAGAGCGATAGATAAAATTAAAAGTGTAATCCTATGAACATAGAAGAATTGCTTATTCGATGTGTCTCAAGGCACATAAAGTTTTAAATAATGATTTATGTAGTTTAAAATTTAATACAAAACTTAGAAGAACCGTGCGAATGAGCATAACTTTAAGGTACAGTGACATTTTTTCACAGATAACCTTATTCGCAAAACGTTGGAAAGAAGTGAATGCTAAAAAAACAATGATTCTCGATTAAATTAGATAGTAATTTTAAAACATAATTAAGCCTAGTTACCGCAATCACCGAAAAAATAAATGCAAAATCTAAGCAATTTCAACAGAATAGGTTTTGTTATAAAGAAGACTCGTAAAAGGAAAAAAAAAGGGGGGGGGGTGTTTAGCGCCATCTATCAAAGTTAGTATTCACTAAAAAAATTCCATTATTAGGTAAGTTCTAGCGTTTACCAACAGACGAATATTAGAACGTCAACTTTAAAGACTGTTTAATGAATTTTCCCATAACTTTGGAGTTACCGCAAAAATATTATTGCATATTGATTTCTATTCTTCTCCAATAAATATATATCTTAGAAATATCTTTTTAGTTTCACTGTCATGAGAACCTAGACAGTAAATACAATTAAATTATTCATGACAATGTTACTTATATTTAAACAAATTTCCGTTTAGCATAAACTTTCGATCAGTGTCAAAATATATTTTTCCATTAGTTGTGTATTGGGTGACACTGAAGATATTTTATTATAATCATAAAAAGGAACATTGAGTGCAGAAAATTAAATTTGTATTTTTTTAGAGAACACAGAATTTTTGTAAACTAATATAACAATCACTTTGGAGCAACTACGGCTCTACCTTTTTACTTTTTTATCAAACGTATTTTCGTATTCTTAAAACAAAACTTACCCATAGATCGACACGACGAAAACCATCACAATCAAGATAAACTTCATTATTCTTCCTAAAATATGTAAATCTAAAGAAAAAAAAAAGAAAAATATGATGTGGTTACTGATTTTGTTTTACAAAAATTTACAAAACATGCTGACAGGTAAACACAAATTCAGATAGTACAAACACTTGTAATAGACATTCCAATAAAATTAAATTATTTTGACTTGAATTACACGGACTTTATTAATCTAGTTTTTGTCTTTATAGTAGTAAATATAAATGGACTGATAACGTTGACCAACCCTTAAATCGATAAAAATTGTTAATTTGTAAACTGTAATAATAAAACACTGAATTACACCTATAAACATATATTTATATTATATATATCATTAAAAATTCAGATCTTCAGTTTTTGACTATTGAGATAGTTATATTGACTTACTAGCATAAAATAACCACGCTCTGCTGCGGCATTCTAAGGGCCCCTCATGATTCACAGAGGCCTCAATGTACCAGTCAAGCGTCTCCATTATATTAATTATTCTATAGCTACCCCAATGTGCCAATTCTTTAATTGATTTGTCTGTTGCCATTTCCCAAATTTAATTCAATTCAACTCTTTTTAAAAGCAAATAGTTTTAATTTAGCTTCTCAGATTCGTTTTGTTTTTGTGTTTTTATATGAATTATATTCATTCTTCGAATTCTCTAGTATTCTCTGATTCATATTTTTCTTCCAGTTGTTTGTTGCCGTTTCCCAAACTTTTAATTAAATTCAGTTTTTTCAATTCTCAGATTTGTATTTTTCTTCCCACGTTTGTGTTGAAAAAGAGTATCTGGTAGACTACCTCCACATATTGTTCATTCAGTAAGCGAGAATTAGAAAAAATATGATACTTTTCAAAAGACCTTGAGAAAGCAGAATTATGGGGTTTAAGAGCTATAGGGCAAAAAAAATTGGTCAAAATCTTTTTTGAATCAAATCTGAAAAATAATACCCAGGCGCACAATTCTAAAAATTCCATTAGTATGTGTGCAAAGTTTTAGGTCTCTAGGGTCTTTCCTCTCGGAGCAACGGCGGTTATACACATACACACACATATACAGGCTCTTTGATTATTATAGATTAATGTAAGAACATAAATTAATATTTTTAAACAAAAGTTTAATGCCGTTTCGCGCTTTTCAAATCGAACAAAACGATTGTTAAATTGTATGATTTAATCAATACGATTCAAGGTGCATGAGCATGCATTCAGAATTTTATGTATAATAATAAAGTTGAGTTATATGCTGAAGAGCTAAAGTTAAATTATATGCTGAAGGAGTTACTGTAAGTCTATATGAAAGTGAAATAGCTGAAATAATTCTCCTTTAGAATACATCTATGTATTACATAAAATAAAATGCAAATTTCACCCCCCAAAAAAACTTTCTGAAAAAAAAGTGAACGAAACAGAGTTGAAAAAATGTTGATGTTGCACTATACCCTATTTTTCAAACTTGCAATATTTAAGATAAATATAAGTTTATTAAGAGTAAAAAAAGGAGTAGAATTTTAATAAAGACATTAAAAGTTTAATTTCATTCGTATCATGATGTGTTTATAACAATACATGTTACGCTGTATTACAAAGAATACATTTAAGATGGTTTCAGAACATTTCTAACACAATTGTAATAAATAAAGCTGTACAGAAACTTACCAAGATGTATCCAGAAATGTTTGTGTTGACTGTGTACGAAGTAACTCAGTCGAACTAAGCATGAACTTCTATATATATATACTTGTTTTATCAGTGAATATTTGTTGAGTTGAGTGGGAAACTCATATTTAGACTATTCGACAGTCAAGGACGTCAACATTTCGAAATATTAAGAAAGAATTCGAGACTAAATATAGAAACCGACAAGGCACCAGTGATGGATAAGATTACCTTCGTTAATCTTAAAGCTGTTGTGAAATATGTATAATTTTAAAACAGGTTTATTGTTTGTTTATGAATTTCGCGCAAAGCTATCTGAGCTAGCTGTCCCTAATTTAGCAGTGAAAGACTAGAGGGAAGGCAGCTAGTCATCAACACCCACTGCCAACTCTTGGGCTACTCTTTTACCAACGAATAGTGGGATTGACCGTCACATTATAAACAGAAAGCATGCTCGGTGACAGAGAATCGAACCCGCGACAACCTTAGTATTGGTTAAAAAGGTAAGATTGATTTTTAGTTTTGAAATCCATTAAAGTAGTTTATTCTGTTCCTGTTGACGATATCCAAACAAGAGAACTAGGTAATTTTATGTAGAACAAGATTTGATAAATTGAGTTGGATTATTGGAAAAAATCTAAACTACTGCAAAATAGGAAAAATATCTCACGGTAATAACTAACAGTCTAATACTCTTTTTCGGGCTCATAACGTAGGTTAATGAAAATTCGAATTACTAGGATTGTTTACGACATTAAAAGTTTAATTTTGTTACGAGTTTTCTAGTCAGAACGTCCTACGATAAACTGTACATAGAACATTATTGTTTATGGAATTTTTGATTCCTTTTTTAACTCATCATTTAGGAACGTAAATTAAGTTAGTTGTGTGAATAATATTATGGCATTACGCCTAATAATAATATATTATTCGATATGATACAGTGCGCCAACTGTTTAATGATTATAGGACTAATGCATTCTACATCACATATTATATTTTTAATTTTACCTTTGGTGAAAAGAAACTAAATCTATATAAATATAATAGTGCTGTCTGTTGTATGTACATGTAACTACTTCGCAGGGTATTGATGGATCTTCACCAAATTTGGTACGGAGGTTTGTTAGGTCCATGCGGGTTAATTACGGTTTTTTACCACTACTTCGTCCCCTGAAGATGGACCTTCACCAAATCTGGTACGGAGGTTTGTTAGGTCCATGCGGAGATGCATGCAACGTTGCAGTTTCATATTTTGTGTTTTGCGGTTCTTATGGGCGTTTTTGCGTTTTGCAATTACATATAAGGGAAGCTACTTTTCATGTCCCAAGATAACCTTTCATTAATCAGGGGACGCATACTCCAGCTAGTCTGTAATATAATCACAGAACACTATTGTTTTGTATTCCATGTAATTATTTAAAGACTAGTAACCAAACAATAATACAAACAACAAACATGAAACATATGCTTACAAAATTCAATGTATTCAGAATTACATTGTTGTTTGGTTACTAGTCTTTATATTGTTCAGTAATACCCAACAGATATTTTTTTATTGCTTTTGTCTATTTTTATTAAGACATATTCAAGTTTTAGGTTTTCGGTAATTCATATAAACCTTGAGATAATTTTAATGAGTTAGTGATTATGCTATATTTCCATTTTATAATTTTAAAAATTGTGGTATAATCGAAACTGTATTGCTGGCCCTACAAGCTTCTTAATCCTTAGAATTACATTAGGTCTGTCATTCTTAAATACGATGCCTGTTCTAAAGCTATTAAATTAGTGCAATCTTTCAAACTGCAGAATATTCTTTAATAGTTTTGTGTTCAATACTTTCATGATTTAGAAATCATAATTGAAGTTTCATGTAATTTAACCCTGCATTCTATACACAAAACGTATGCAAGTTATTATATGTTAACCTTGTGGCATTTCATCCCCAAAGCATGATAGTAGATGATATTGTCGCTCGATAGTTTATATAGTATAAGAAAATCGTTTTTTGCTCACTGTCGCCATCTGTCATCCATAGGTAAAACTATTAATACAATGAGTAAATGACTTTAATTACTCTTCTAAGGTTTGAAAAATTAACATGTGTCATCAAAAACTGACGAAGAATGAAGAAATTGTTCCAGAATCTGAAAACATTCAACATACACAGGATATTTACTTCAGACTTACCACTCAGCTAAAAAGCAACAACCGAAGTCTTCAAATATACCATATTTCAGTTATGTTTTAACATGCGGTAATAGCTCTGAATTGAAATGTCTTATGAGCATTGGATTATAAACTTTATACAACATTTAAAGTTTAATCTAGAAAATTATACAAACATTTATGCTTCAGTAAATGTTATACGCTAAAAATACGAGGTCCATTAAATGCTGTTATATCGTTTACAAACTTATCAGTGAAATTAACATTGAAACATTGGTTGTTATTGTGTATAAATACT